TCTGGGGGCCACAATAAGGTACTTCCCACATCTGGGTTATTGACATTTACTCCCACCTGGAAGCAGCAAGTTTCCAGCCTCTCCCACTAAGATATGTCAAAGGAATCTGCTTAAACAGAAGTTAAATAATATTTAGAGTCTTAAAACTATAACTAAAGTATTCAGTGTATAATTACAAAATCACTCAGTATGCCAAGAACCCAGAAAATCTCAACTTGAGTTAAAAAAAAAAGACAACAAATCGATCTCAATATCAGGATGATATAGATGTTGAAATTATCTGACAAAGCTTTTAATGCAGCTTTAATAATGAAAAATTACAAACTTAGAAATTATTTAAAACACAGTGGCAGCAAGGAAATATGGTGACAACAAAACAGAAGATATAATGAACTGAATGGAAATTTTAGCTCTGAAAAATATAATAATTGAAATATAAACTCATCAAATGAGCTCAAAAGTAGAATGGAAGGGACAGAAGACATACTTGCTTGTCAGTGAACTTGAAAACAGAATAGTAGATATTACTCAACAATGAATGAACAAACAGATTGAAAAAATTAGCATAGTCTCAGGGATTGGTGGCACCTTATCAAAAGATCTAGCAGTCATGTCATCAATGTCCCAAGAAAAGAAGAGAAAAAGTATGGGGAAGAAAAAACATTTGAAGAAATAATGGCTGAGAATTTCCCAAATTGAGCAAAAGATGTAAATGTAAGAACCAAGAAGCTGAGCAAACCTCAAACTGGAAAACCCTAAAGAAATCTACACAAAGATATAATCAACTTCTAAAAACTAAAGAACAATTCTTGAAAGTACTGAGAGAGAAAAGACATCTTAGGTATAATAGAGAAACAAATGACAGCTAATTTCTCATCACAGAAGGAATTGGCATTTTTTTTCTCAGTCACTGAGCAGGGGTGGGATAAGGTTGGGTGTTGGTCAGCTCCAGATTCTATACGGAGAAATCACCATTCTCAAATTAAACAGAGAATTTGCCACCAGCTTATTTACTCTTTAAAAAAAAATAAAGGAAGTTCTTGAAACAGAAAGGAAATGATAAGAGAAAGAATCTTGGAACAGGAAGGAAGAAAGAACAACGGAAAGAGTAAAATATGGGTAAACAGGGTAGGTGTTCCTTTCCTCTGAATTTGTATGATTGAGAGTTGGGGCAAAATTTGTAGCATTGTCTCGTACAGTTCTCCAATGCACATAAAGGGAATATTAAAGATGATTATAAATGAGGATGGGAGAATGACTTCACAGGAGGTAAAGTATCCACAACTTCACTAGAAGTGATAAAATTCAGCACCAGTAGATCGATCACTTATGATCAGTGAGGTATGGACAACAGATGATAACAGGTTGGGGGTCAGAATGAGAGCTGTGGAAGCGGTTGTTAGAACACAGTTTGTAGATTCGGTGGTTGAAAAGGAAAGAAAACTGGGACTCTACGGTAGACACAGGGAAAAACGGCCAGTGCAGAAGGACGCATGTACTGATGGTGGACGACAGAGCACTGAGGTGGGATGTGGGAAAGAGCTTCTTCTGCCTCTGAGGATGAGGCTGTCAACACGCATTTAAAAGCAGAGGAAAACTGAGGGAGTTCTGTCTGAGCATCACTGTAGGCACCTGTTGAGAGGAGTAAACCGAGATGAAGCCGACGATGAAACTTAGTGGCACAGAAAGTGGATAAGAACATCAGAAAACAGCAGCACCCGGAAGGAAGCTCCCCGCCTCCATCCCAGGCTCCTAGGGGAGTGAAGCTCAGCCAGTCCCATCACCTGGAAGGAAGCTCCCTCGCCTCCATCCCTGGCTCCTAGGGCCAAGAAGGTGAGCTGGTCCCAGCACCCGGAAGGAAGCTCCCCTGCTGCCATCCCAAGCTCCTAGGGCTGAGAAGGTGAGCCCCGTGGGTGCCAGAAGCACACCCCCCCCGCGCGCGCCGTGGAAATGAGAAGACACATAAACAAGCCTCAAAAACAGACTTCCAGATCATCTATAGCAACCTCAAAGGGAAACGAGATGGAACAATCTGATACTCAACCACCTGGACTCTCTGAACTGGCAACAAAAGAGGATCTGGGAAAAATGAAATCAGAAAT